ACCATTAATTAAATAATTTACAAATCAAAATCTATCAATATCACATTAATGAAATTTATTCTTACCTCATTAAAGAAGAAATAAAGTGTGTTTGTATCAAGTTTGAAGGATAATGTACGTAATAAATAAATATAGTATGCTAAAATCTCTTCGTTAGAAAAATCAAATTTATGCCATACAATACTATTAACATAATTATTGGATAAGAGAAAATCTAGATAAATAAATTGAATTTATTGGGGTAAATCAATGTATTTTTGGCACTAGTGTTTATTAGTGGTGGTATTAATTAATATCAATAAATTAAAACTTACACAGTGAAGTTAAATCATGAATATTTTCGAATAATATATTCATAGTTTGAAGTAATTGTTTTGTGACTGATGGGCTCTTGGTATGTTCCAGTATTTTTAAAAATATATAATGAATATCGTGTTCAAAGAAATATCTATAATAATGATAGCAATTAAGATTTGAGTTTAATTAATAATGATTATTATTATAACAATGACTATAATAAATATTACTCGAGTATCGCTGGCTTATGTTGATCACCTAATTCACGTTCATTACAATAGCAATAATAGCAATGATAGTAATGATATGTTAACATTACATATAACACTAATAACATCAATAATAATAAAAGATTAAATAACAAAACTCACCCCAAATTAATATTTGTGTCATCTCTTTCATCGTTTCAACTGTTCCACCTTCATCTTCATTAACTGAATAATTCTTTAAATATGTGCTTAATTGTCTAAATTATTAATTTATGGTGGAAATAAATATGTAAAAATATTCAATTATTTTTTAAAATTCGAAATTCTGAATAAAGCATTCAGAATTACCTCAAATTCTCTAATGAGTACTTTTCGACCTTTGGTGTTCTATCTCCAAAAAAACCAAAGAAAGTCGAGTTTTCAGAATTTGACTTAATCTTATTATTAACATTATTGTTGGAGTAATAATTGCTCATAAAAGAATTATTAACTGAGGGTAGCCAACTCCAATTCAAGTAACTACTCATTTCAATATTTTATTTAATTTTGTCTTTATTAAAACTAACAACCGAACATAGGAATTGATTTTTTAAAAATTGTACAGAAAGCCCCAAAAACTATAGATAGGTTACCCTAAAATTTTCAATGTTATTTATTTTGTTTTACACAATGGGGCGGGCGTCCTTATAATATATTTCGAGAAATAAGATAATAAGGCAAAGCAAATTAGAAGCAGTGCTCATCAAATAGTATGTATAATAATAATGACGTTTGATATGACGTAATTTTGAGGGAGAGGGGGTTTGAAAACAATTTGAAAAGCTATACTATCCAAAAAATCGGAAGCAGGTTTAGAATTTGTATAGTTTCCATATGTTGATCTAAGAGTATATGTTTCTTCTAAAGCAGCAGGTTTCAGAGTAGAAGAATTCATTATTATTTTCAAACTGTAATGTCATTAATATATGTAGACCAGGATAAATATGATAAGATTTTGTTTAGATAAAAAATAATCATTTCTCATTAATGAAATAATAGTTTTTTTTATTTAGAAGTTGTGATTCTGACACTTCATGTTCATTGGTTTTAAATGTCTTTTAATTCCTTCTTGACTTAAATCTGTTATGCCTAGTTTACTTCCATTTCTATCATACATGCTTACCAAAATTAATTCTATTAATAAACGATCATTGCCAAATTCAAATGCCAAAATAGCTTTTCATAATAGCTGATTAACTTTAATAGTGGCCAAACTTAAAGCTCTGAATGGGCTGGGCTAGCCTGAAAGTTTTTGGGCTGGGTTTGGGTTGTTGACTGTAGTTGGGACTGAACTGAAAAGTCTGAACCTAACCTGAAACCCAAAAACGTTTTGGACTGTACCAATTATACTTGAGGTCAAAATTATTAAATCGCAATTAAAAATCCCAAAATTTTGTATTGCACCACTATCATAATTTTATACAATTGGCACAAGATGCAATTCATGATGCAAGTCTCAATTGATGGTGTAAATATACATAGGATGGTAATTACCTAATTACCGTAAATAAGTAATTCGTAATTAACGTAATTAATTACTATTACCACTTTTACTCTTTAAAAACGTAATTACGAAATTAATTACGGGTGACGAAATAATTACGGGTGACGAAATAATTACGGGCTGTAATCTTTAGTTTTTTAACTCAAATATTATAATAAATAAACCTTGACCTTGTCCTTATGGTCTTCGAATATTATACTTTCGTAATGATAATAAATCTCCCTAACGACGAATTTATACTATATAATATAATTATTTTCTCTTATTTTATATTTGTCTCTATTAATTTTTTTATTTTTTTATTTCTTTTCTTTTCTTTTAGTGCTTTTAGTGAGATCAGAATTTACACTCTTGTTCATCTCCCTTTGCTATTTCCAGAACTCTATATTCTAATTTCATATTAATCTACTTACTTTTCTGAATGATAAAAGCTTGGAATTTCTCTTTAGTTTTTTCTTTTGCTTTACTTACTAATTGTTTAAACTTTTGGAATCTATTTTCTTTTTGTTGTTTTGGTAAAGCTGGTAATTCTTTGTTTGCTAAATTATCTCTTCAGTTTATTTCCTGATTTTAGTTGACAAATTATTTTCCAACAAATCTATTCGGTCTAAGAGTTTGCCCATTGCAGCATCATGTTTTAGTATCACTTCATTAATTTGGCATTTTCTCCACTTCATAGCTGTGTTTAATGCCTTTTCAGCTTCCTCTCACTCCATTTCTACTTCATCTTCCAACTCTTCCACTTTTATTTCCAGTTCTTTTTGCTTTGCTTTCAATTCAACAACTTTTTCTTCTAAAACAGCATTCTTTTTCTTGGTAAGTAAAACCAAAAGCTTCTTCATAATTTAATGCTTCACTACCAAAACTTTTAACAATACTTTCAGGAGTGAATTTGTTGCTAAAAACAACTCTTCCAATTTCAATTCCATTCTTTTCTGTAATCTTTAGTTTTTTAACTCAAATATTATAATAAATAAACCTTGACCTTGTCCTTATGGTCTTCGAATATTATACTTTCGTAATGATAATAAATCTCCCTAACGACGAATTTATACTATATAATATAATTATTTTCTCTTATTTTATATTTGTCTCTATTAATTTTTTTATTTTTTTATTTCTTTTCTTTTCTTTTAGTGCTTTTAGTGAGATCAGAATTTACACTCTTGTTCATCTCCCTTTGCTATTTCCAGAACTCTATATTCTAATTTCATATTAATCTACTTACTTTTCTGAATAATAAAAGCTTGGAATTTCTCTTTAGTTTTTCTTTTGCTTTATTTACTAATTGTTTAAACTTTTGTAATCTATTTTCTTTTTGTTGTTTTGGTAAAGCTGGTAATTCTTTGTTTGCTAAATTATCTCTTCAGTTTATTTCCTGATTTTAGTTGACAAATTATTTTCCAACAAATCTATTCGGTCTAAGAGTTTGCCCATTGCAGCATCATGTTTTAGTATCACTTCATTCATTTGGCATTTTCTCCACTTCATAGCTGTGTTTAATGCTTTTTCAGCTTCCTCTTGCTCCATTTCCACTTCGTCTTCCAACTCTTCTACTTTTATTTCCAGTTCTTTTTGCTTTGCTTCTAATTCAGCAACTTTTTCTTTTAATTCCTCTTTTTCTTGGTAAGTAAAACCAAAAGTTTCTTCATAATTTCATGATTCATCAGCAAAACTTTTAACAATATTTTCAGGAGTGAATTCATCACTGAAAATAACTCTTCCAATTTCAATCATCCGGAAAATATAAAAAAATTTTACACATGTCAATTGTAAGTTTAATAATAAAAAAGTGTAAAACTTACGTCGGCACTGTAAGATTTACACAATATTACGCTGGCATCGTAAGATTTATGCAATTTTACGCTAAATTAATTTCCTGATGATTCCATTCCTTTCTGGATAACTAACTCAACCATTTTTAGGCCATTTAAATATTTCTAAGATTCTTAAACTTACTCCAGTATATTCTGAACTTTCAATAAGGCTGTGAACAGCATTTCAAGTTCTTAACTTAAAGTTTTCTTCTTTTTCAGCTAATTGTTTCTTCAATAACTCTATTTCATTTATTAGTGTTTTGTTTGCTTGTTGTTGTTTGTTTATAATGTTTACCATGTTTGTTCTTTTTTTTATATATTCTTTTAATATACTTATATCCTTTTTATAAGGGTGTATTAAGTATATAAATCATTTTAGTACTTTTTTACTTTAAAAGTGGAAAAAACTAACAATATTTGTTAAAAGATTAAACACAATAAAGTAAGGGACAAATTAATGAGTGACAAAGTCATGGAAGTGATTTTATTCAGAATATTTTATTTGTCACCAGTATAGATTGGTCTTGGACAAGTAATACCTTTGTATTCATCTTTCACAAATGGGCAAATATTGTTCTAAAGGTACTCTTGCCTTTTGTAATCCAAAGGAGATGGTGTCAATACTAAAATAGATAAAGCTTTATTTTCTTCAAAAATACCAGTTTTCCTAGTTTTTAATAAATTGAATTTAGCAAAAGTTCCATTAGCCACTTCCTGAGTTTTGACTACACCAAGATTAGATGCTTCAAAAAGAAAATGTTGATACTTTTGTAAACCATTTAGTTTCTTAAAATAAATTCCCAAAATTGCTTTAATATCTAAGTATTGAAAACCTTTTCCACCTTCATAACACTGGGCTCTATTTAATCCAGCTAGACTAGACTTTTTTATTACATCAACCACATGATCCAGACAATCTACTCTGATTCTTCTATAGAGTTTTTTGATCATCCCAAAATTACCATCACATTTAAATTCAGTGTGTCCAGGAATCATGAAATTCAATTCAATACTTTCATAATAACCACAAATTACTAAATATAAATAAAATCAAATAGTTACACTGTTTTTATTTTTATTATTATTATTAAATCTTTTAAAAAACATATTGCATATAATTACATACATAAATTCTTAATATTTTGATAACTTATTTTTAGTCAATCTTTGAGGAGTATTGTAAGTTTTCATATTAAAAGTTATTCTTCTTTCATCAACATCATTATAAATGTTATCATTATTATCATTATTAACATCACTGTCATTATTATCTACTGCTCGACTAGCTTGATCCAATGATATAAGATCTCCTAGTATACTAAATTTCTTTATATTTTTTTTAATCAAATCTTTTAATGAATCAAGTTGTTCAAAAAAATCAACAAATTTTTCAACATCAATTTCATCTTTTATTAAAGGTAGTCCAATTTCCATAATTTTTCTCATTCTAAAAAGTGGAGGATAACTCCTTTCTACTGCATATACATCTAACAATAAGCCTATTTTTAAAAAAAGATTTATAATTCAATATATAGAATTATAAAATCAATGAATGAATTAAACCAATACTCACCATGAAAATGTAAAGAAAATAAAATTGCACCATCAATGATACTTATTATCTTAGTTTTTTTATCAGGTGAAACAGAATAAGATTCATTATGAATGTAATTAAGTGAATCTTTGCAATATTTCCCTAATCGTATTTTATCTTTTTTGATATGTTTATCAGTTATATTAAAAGGCCCATTGGAAATTTCGATATAAAGTATTTCAAAATTTAATTCTTCAATGCCACTTTCCAATGACCAGAGAACGTCTGGACATCTCCTTGGACCAATTAAATTATTCCTATTTTTGGTTGCTGTACTCTCAACATTAAACCTATCATTATAATAAGATCATTAAATCAGGATCAACATAAATTTTATGCAAATAAACATTTTACTAACCAGGATGTTTCAATGTTTGGCAAGTCATCTTTTAAAAAATCCACTAAATGTGTAACAAATTCATGTGAATATGTTGGCTCTGTGATTGATTTTTTCTTTTTTGGTATTTTTTTCAAATCCCAAATATTTTCTCTAAAATGTTTTTAGATAAAATTGTTAAAAATCACAAAAGTACAGTATTGATACAAAAATGTTATATTTTTAAATATTTACATAATACAAAGATATTTTTTTACTGTTGATAATAGTTTTGAATCATATGTATCATCTTTTGGTATTTTTTTTTCACGATGCTCAAAAAAATTAACCAGATATTGTTTGTAATATTGTGGAATTTGACAGATTGTTTCTAATTGAAAAAGTTTATTCCAGAGTTGAGCCTCTTTTAATTTTTTTGTTACAATTCATTGACTTTCTTCAATTTCATTTTTTTCTATGACACCAGATAATATCAATTCATAACCAGTAAAATTATTGGTATCAAGATATTTGCTAATTATTTTTACTGTTTCACATACATTTTGAGCTTGCAACTATTTAATCCAATAAAAATAAATTCTTTAATATGCAATAAATAGATAAGAATAATATAATTTCTAAAATACCTTTTTTAATCCATTTCCCATGACTACCTTGTCTAGATCTCCATACATATCATTATAAAGAATGTTTGCCATACCTTCTGATAGGGCAATTTTTTCAATATGCATATAATACTTAAAAATGTTTGTTTGAAATAAGTCATGCGCATATTGAACAAACTTGATAAAATTATCTGATGTTGCTTCTTTATCTTTCTAAAAAAAAATTATAAATAGTGAACCAATCAATAAATAATATATCAACAAGTAACTATTTACTATCTCATTTTTGTTATGTATAGGTATAATTAAATAATCCAAAATCAATGTAGGGGGGTGTTAGTGCCCTACTTTTAGATGATGAACTACTTAAATACAGTACATATGTTTTCAAGAAATATTCACTAGCCAGTGTAAAGAATGTTAACGCCTTATTTTTAGGCAATGACAATTTATTTTAAAACCATATGCATCACCATTTATACATTTATTAAAATTATAAGACTTAAAAACCATACCTTAGATCCAAAACCAATTATTTTACCATAAACTCTTCTGATTAGCTCATCAAGATTTTCTTTGTAATTAATTGCATCCCACTCCTCAGCCATAAACTGCACCAATTCCGCCAGATTTTTTGGCATTCTCTTCTCCACATTCCTCTTAACAATAGCCCACAAATTTTCTATTGGGTTTAAATCAGGACTGTTGGATGGCCAATCCATAACTTTGGGAAAGTTTTCTTGAAGAAATGTTTTGGCATGGTGGCTTGTATGTTTGGGATCATTTATCCTGTCGAAACTGCCAATCATCCCCTAACATTCTTTGGATCTCTGGGTGATGATTCTCCAATATTTCAACATAAAATTCTGCATTCATAATTTCTTGGAAGCAAAAAAGACTGGTCTTTCCATGGATGCAAAAGCCACCCCAAGCAAAAATTTTGGTGCGATCTTTTGGCATTGGGCAAATGGGTCTTACATTCTTATACCATCTTTCAATTGTGTTTCAGTAAAGCTGGAAAGCTGTCTCATCTGAAAATAGGGTTTTCCCCCAATTATCATTAAGATGATTTTGTGCCCACTCTACACGACGTTCTTTATGCCTTATTGTTAGCATTGGGGTGGCTCTTGGCAAATTTTTCTTATATCCGATCCCTTCCAAATGCCTTAATACTGTTACATATGAGACCTCTATTCCTTTATTTAACATTTTATTAGCCAAAGACCTCAAAGAAATAGAAGAATCTCTACGAATATATTGTCCGATTGCATGTGATGCTTCCGCAGTAATTTTCTTTTTTCTACCATTACCCCCTTTATGTTCCACGTTACCATTTTTTTTTTTTCAAGTTTTCAATATTAAAATAAATAGTTGAGAGTGGGATGTTTGTAATATTATGTAATAGACGAGCAGAACATATCCCCTGATTCCAATAATATAATAAGGTTGTACGTTGCTGTTCTTTTGTAGATTGTGTCATTTTATTAGCAAATTACACAAAAAATTTTTATTTGATTTGGTTAAAAGATAAAACAGACTAAATCTAATAAAGAAAGGCTTTGTTTTGAATTTTTATTTGATGCGGATCAGACTGTTTTGGTAAAGTTATTAAATTTTTTTTGTAACACACTGTATATGTATGACTATTTAATATATAAAACTTTCACCAGGTTTTTCAACCAAATTTTTTTTTCAACGCATAAAATTTAGCCAATCATATTTTCTTCCAGTGTCACATGGTAAATTAGTAGTAATTTCTAGGGGTATGGGGGTTCAACAAGAATGTTACACGGTATGATTTCGTTTTCTTAAAAAATTGAAAAAGTGATTGTACAAACGTGACTCCAAAAAAACCCCCAAGATATTTATTTGATATAAAAAATTATTTATATTTATTTTCTTTTCCAAGATATACGAGGATCAGATCATAAGATAGTAAAAATATTGTTAAAAAGAAAGGTAGAACGCCATAAAACTGGTAGAAACATATTTTAGAAGATATTTCCAATAAATATAATCATAAAAAAAAATTTTTTTCAAAGCCTTAAAAGATCTTTCCTAATTACAATAAAGAAAAACCAAAAAGCTTTATTTTATTAAACATGACCACTACTTCTCTTTCACCTCAAGGAACGAAAATTTTTTGGATCAATAAAATGGTAAAATTTTGTGAATTACAGTTGACTCTGGCTATATCGAACCTGGCTATACCGAACTCTGGATATAGCGAATCAAAATCGCCATGACCGAATTTTTATAATTAATAAATCTGTTTATA